AAAGTACTTTAAAAATCGGCTATTGAGTAGCCGATTTTAAAAGTATCACTTCTAAAATCGGTTATTGAACAGTCGATTTTAAAAGTAGCATCAGAGAGTTAATTATACTATCTCTGCTCCCATTGCTTCATTCTCTACTATTTTGCTTCAATATCATATATTCTTCTCTCTTTACTCTCTCGGAATCTCATCTGAAGTGTGTAGCTTCTCATTTTCTCGGACGAATACAACAGCGAGGTAACATTTTTGTCTCATGTGTCTTATTTCGTTGTTGCTGGGCGAACTTTGAGTCTGGAACGGCCCCAGAACGGGCCGTTCTACAAGCAGAACGACCTGTACTGCTTGCAAAACGGCCTGTTCTGCAAGCAGAACGGCCTGTACCGTTTGCAGTACGGCCCGTTCTGCAAGCAGAACAGCCTGTACCGTTTTTAGAACGGCCCGTTCTACAAGCAGTACAGGCCGTTCTGCTTGCAGAACGGGCCGTACTGCAAGCGGTACAGGCCGTTCTGCTTGCATTAATATTCCTTTTTGTCATCTACAATGGTAGAGCCTCATGATAAATGACACTCTCAACTCTGTTACTTGGAAATTGGAAATTCGTCTAGCACACTCAAGGAATTCACTTGCACATTATAAAACAGTACCACATCCGAATCGAGAGAAACAAGAAAATGAATAAAAATAAAGAAAGATCAATAGAAGTTTGTTGGTATTAACTTCAGAAAGTTCTTGTTTGCAGCAAAGATAGACCAGGACAATATGAAAGTCATGTTGCATTTACACTCCCAGGACTGTGTAGAGTTATTTCAGGGATAAATGTATTTGATCCCAAGTTCAACATAGCTGCACCTGGAGCTGATCAGTCAGTCTATTTCCCTTTTGGAGCATTTATACCTTTTGGAGGCGGGTCAATAATGAACAAAAAGAGGCAAAGCAAAGATACATTAAAATGTTCTACAATCTTATGTTCAAGAATTTGGTAAGTCAACATATTTAGTCTTTAGAAACATAAACAGAACAATTATTGTCATGCAATGCGAATGACTCCCACCTTTGATATGTCAATATCACAGGTGAAGACTATAATTGTTCCAGGTGAAGACTATAACTTGACATGCACTCAGATGTTGTTCATAGCCTTAATCATACATTAATAGAAACGGTATTTCTTTTCTTCCTAGTAAATGCGACTGCTGGGTAGTATTGGCTGGGAATCTAATGTGCATTATGTGCTGCATTTAAATTTATAAGCTAGACTGTTTAAAAATGCCTCTACTAGATTCTTTTTTTCTGCTAACAACCTAAATTATTCTTTCCTGGCTGGTGTTTCACAGGTCATTGAAATTGGTTCTGTTGGAAAGGGTCTCAGTCAAGGTGTTAAAAACTTTTTTGCTCATACAGAAGGGGTGAGATCTTGATTGATCTGTCAACTATGTGCACATTCATGGCTATTATAGAAAATTTGTAGAAAAAAATATTTATATATTAATATAGTTCATTTTGATTTAAGTTGATTTCACAACCCAAACAGAAAACCAAACTAAACTGCAAGGTTTAAAAGAATAAAAATTAACAAAATTGTTATTTTAAAAGTAGGACTTTTAAAATCGGTCATGGTATGACCGATTTTAAAAGTCTCACTTTTAAAATCGGTCAGCGACCGATGTTAAAAGTCCTACTTTTCAAAATCGGCTCTTTTAAAATCGGTCAGAGAACCGATTTTAAAAGTAAAAAATGACCGATTTTAAAAGTGTTTTTTCTACTAGTGAGTCATAGGACATTTAGGGAATTGCATTCATAATAATTTATCTTGTTAACTATTTGTTTGATTAGTTTTATATATTTTGTATGTGTTGTAAAAATACATTAATTTTTTTTTAAGTAGATAAATAACAATTATTTTAAAGTTTAATACAAATTTTTAGAGGTGTTAATGTGTCATCAACTCATCATTAACAATCACATATAACACCTAGGATTGTAACTTAACTTTTTAATAAACAAAAAACAATTAAAAATGATCATATAAAAAATAGAGACTAAAAATAATAGTTTCAATTTTAATGGGATGAATTTTTTTTTTTTTTATTGGAATCAAAATCAAATCTGGTTAATTTTAAAGAAACTTAAAGCATATTTAAAAGCCTAATTAAAAAAATATGCTTCTATTGTTTTATTCTTTTATGTTTTTTGAATTGTAAAACTCAACATTGTATTTTTTAATTTTCTGTTAATAAGTTATATATCTTTTACCTTTTTCTTTAGAATATAAAATACTAAATTGATCAATACAAATAGAGTAATAATTAAAATAATTAAAGAATAACAAAATAAAGTTTTCTAATAAACCTTAATATAAAAAAAGATAAAAATAGAATTATATTAAATATTAAGAATACATATGATAAAAAATATTAAACTACTGACTATGTGCAATAAATTAGTTAAAGATGTGCTTCTAACCTTTTTATTTTATATTTTTTATATGGTGTAACTTACACTAGCTATTCGTTTACAATCATAAAAATATTAGAATAAACTAGTTTATAATTTGGTCAAACAAATTATAAACTAGTTATCAAACAAATTTCAATTTTAATTTAGCTTAAACGGCATCCCAAATACATTTGCAGTAATTACTGAAGATAAAAACAAAAACACTCAGTTCCAGCCAATAATGCCTTACATAAATTTGGGATAAAATGGTGTATATCAAGTTTTTAGTTAGCGTGTGGATAACATGCTGGATAGTTGTAACAAAAAAAAAGTGCAGAATATAATGTCCCAAAAAATATCAAGAAAGATGAAGTTGAGATCAATCATTCATATAATCTATTTTCATGTCTACGGACACCAACATAAAAATTTCCTTACTATAAACCCCAAAAAGTATTCAGTGAATCTTTATATATAAAACCTCTTAATTTAGCTGATCAAATTTGTTGTGTTGTGATCAACAATATCTTTGGAGAAATTTGGGTCTCTTGCAGATGCTGAATCTTCAAGTAACCAAGTTAGGATGTCGGTATACTCTTGATCATAAATTAAGTCACCAGATTGTGAACCATAGGGAACTAGTGCATCTGACCCTTGTGCAGAAAAGGATCTCATATCACCACTTGTGAAACCTAAGGTGTTTGCATCAATAGTTTGAGGTGATACTAAATCATTATTAATATTCTCGGTGGCAAAAGATGGCTGAAGATTGATAGGACTAATTTGATGATGCATCATTGTCTTCTGCTGCTGCTGCTGCTGTGTATCCTTGAACACTCCATATATAGATGGATCCATGATTGGCTGAGAAAAATTATTGATAATGGCAATGTTAGAAGGATGACCATGTGTCACACCTTGTTCTTGATTGGAATGGTTAGCCTCTTTTTCTGTATCAAAGGTTGTCAAGGTGTTATAGGAAACATGGTTAGTAGCAGCCAAAGATTGGAAGTCCACTCTCACAAGTGCACCAGATTCTGTGTTTGGCAATGCCATCTCATTAGATGTACTCTTCACCTCATTCTGTTGCTGTGTTGCTCCATTAGATGCACTCTTCATCTCATTCTGTTGCTGTGTTGCTCCATTCAGTGTACTCTTCATCTCATTCTGTTGCTGTGTTGCTCCATTAGATGTATTCTTCATCTCATTCTGTTGCTGTGTTGCCCCATTAGATGTACTCTTCATATGATGCTTATATTTCTGCAGTCAATATTGCAGTCACAATGCCAATAAATTTAAGAGAAATGCTATCTTTGTCATAACCAAGTGCAATTATGAAAAATCAAATACACAAAACAGAAACTAACCTGCAAATGACTGGCAACGTGATCTCTTGTCAAACCAGCGATATTCATCACTTCAAGAATTTTCTTTGGCACAGCTTCTGAAAAATAATTAAAGAATCAGACTATGCCTTGTATAAGAATCACAAAACCACCAAAGAAAAATTCAGTGACTGTATGAACAGAGAAAAAGAATCAATAAAGAATCATACTATCATCCCCAATTTGCTTCACTGCCTTGAGAAATTCACGATGCAGCATTGGTGTCCATATTACACGTGGCTTTTTTGCTGGGGGTTGACAAGAATGTTCCGATTCATCAGATTCTCTTGAACTGCTATTGTTTTGGTCTCTGAATATTTCTGTGGCTTCAATAACAGTAGAAGAACCAAATTCAGAATTATTATTCTCCAATATGACATAATTCTTGTTTTCACTAAAGGCTTTCCTTGCTGCATGTATCCACATGTTCCTGAACTGATTCACATGCAAGGGCTTATTCCAATAATCACAAGCCCCGTTTCTTACAGCCTTCATCACGGAACCCTTAGCATTGTCAGCAGACATCACTGCACATTGCACTTGATAAGTAAATCAAAGTTCAAACCAAAATCTATACACACAAGAATTTACAGAACAAGTATAGTTACCCACCGATAACTGGAATTTGAATATCCTTCTTGGCATGTTGAAGGAATTCATGGCCATCCAAGTTTGGCATGTCAAGCTCCATGAGGATCACATCGATGCAAGCCTTTATTTCCCTCACAAGATTCAAAGCAAATGGTGATTCGGTGCATGTGACAACTGCACACAGCATAGAAACTATATCAGTAACACAAAAAAAAAAAAAGAGATTAAATCTCTGCCCAAGAAACAGTGAACAATTATCTTACCGTGATATTTGAGTTGACTACATATTTGCCTAGTGAATTCAAGAACTGAGGGGTCATGATCAATTGCAAGGACCCTAAGGCCAGCTGGGAATTGAGAAACCTCAGACATTGCTCAGTGTGAGACTAAACTTGTCTGAAAATTCTTGGAGAAAGAAAGAAAGGAAGCGAAAGAAGTTGGAGATTTTTGTTTGTGTTTCAATTTCAATTTCAAATTTAAATAGGATTTAGTATTTAGTATAATCAGAAACAATACATCTGAAATTAATTCTCTATCTTTTTACATTGACACTTCACTACTTGCATTCTCATTAAATATATGATAAATAAAGGCTTATATTATATCATCCAACAATAGATAGTGAGAGTCGGAAAAGAAAACTTAATTTGAGAAATTAAAGGGAAAAAGTATTCTCATAAAATCAATGATTTGATTAATTTAGAAAGTACTGAAACTAAGTAATATATATATATATATATATATATATATATGTATATGTATATTTTGATCGGTAATAATTTTTTTTAATAAAAATGCAAGGACACTCGTAATCTTTATTATAATAAAAAGAAGGAAGTCTGTGATTCTTTTTTCTCGCTCAAAATAAGGATACTTATGTAATTTTATCTTATCATAATTATTCTGAATTTTATTTTTTTATTTTAATAAATTCTAAATATAAGAAAAACCCTTCCTCTTTCTCTTTGCTTTATACAAAAGAAAAATCCTTCCTCTTCTTCTCTGCTTTACACGTTTCCCATCAAATTATTTGCATTTAGTCTTCACTCAGAGAAGCAATTATGGATATCTATTTCTTATGTATTGGTTGTAGCTTTTCGATGCCAATTGATCTCAACTATCCTCTAATTTTTAAAACATTTTTTTTTCAAAACTTCATTCTGATTGTCCAGTTCCATCATACTCTCCATATATACATTGTCTACTTTCTGATTTGGGCATTTTTGTACTTCTAATATGAGGATTCACACTTTCTCTATCAATCATAGGAAAACCATTTTTAGGTAAGCTTGTATGAAATTTTAATTTCAAAGGTTGGTTGTTTCGATGTTGATATGTAGTGAACATATTATTAAAAGTTTTATCCTTTTTACTTTCATTTTCTTTTTAAAGGACATGACTCAGAGGTTTACATTACTAAAGGACATTGCAGTGGGGAGAATTGACTGGAAGATAAGAGTTCGTATAATAAGATTGTGGAGGCTGCCAGAGTTTAAGAGTCCATTGCAAACAAATTCTTTGGAGATGATTTTGGTGAATGAAAAGGTTTTTTTTTTCCATAAATTATAACAGTTATAAATTTCATTATTGGATAGTATAGTTTTTGTTTTTGCTTCTATTTGAAATTTTCATCTTCACCAAAAAAAATATGATTAGTAAAGATATTATTTTCAGAATCAATTACAATGAGTCAATGATCTTAATAAAGACATTGATAAATTTTTCTGCACGTATGTTATTTTTTAGAAGCTAATGTATTTTTTCCCATTATTCTTTTAATTATTTTTACCTATTATAATTCAAATAATAACCTTATTTTAAAACAAATGAAATTAGTCTGATTTAAATCTTTCAATTTTTTCTTTTTAACCAAATCCTACAACTCAATATCTTTTTTTAAAAAAACTTACCGTAACTTTTGTATGTACAAATCATTTTGTTTAAGGCTAATTACTATAGTAGTCATGTTGTATTCTTGCATTTTTAAGTGATGAATTTTTATGTAGTGTTGCTAGATTTTTTCAATTTGATCTTTTTATTTTGTTGCCAACTCATTACATGTCCTTCACTTCAATTTTTTTTATTCAATTCAATTAAGATGTGAAATAATGTTTATAATCAATTTGTTCCTGTTGTGTTGTTGACTTTCTACCTATTCTACATTTTTAGTCTTAAACTTTTCGTAACTTCATAATTTTATCATATTTCCTTGCGTTTGAAATAATAGTTGTATTGATTTATGCATTTCCTTTAAAATAAATGAGAATATATGTGATATTTCATAAGTTATCATGTTGTATTGATTTAGGGAGTAGTTTTCTTTTTTTATTGTGTTATTATTAAATGTTACATTTATTTTAAATTTCTGTTTTATGTTTTCAGTTTCATTTCAAAGGCCAAATAATCTCTGTTATTTGGTTTTCAATTATATGTGATGCATCAACTTCTTATTCAATTTTAATTTAATGTCTGATTTCATAATATTTAATAATTAGGATGGAAGGATTCATGTAACAATTTCCTCATGTTTCACTTTTTTCAATTTTGTAATTGAAACATGAAGATTAAAACAAAATATTGTTTCATATTTTATTTATTTTATCTTTTAAAATTTATTATAAAATTTCTAAATATAAAACTATTTTATAATTATTCAAAAATATTGTATAAAGATATATTGTAATATTAATTATATTTATGTTTTTACACAATTTTTTTTAAACAAATATTATAAATTTTGTTGTTTTTCTTCCTATAATGATTTTCAAAATAATTAGATTTTATACATTGATTATTGATTCAAAAATTAAACTAAGAAAGATGTTACATAAGTAAAAAGAAAAAAATAAATGAATATCAAACAACTACTACAAAATTAAAACGTTGCACAAATAAAAAGAAAAAAAATTTAAAGGTTGGTATATTTTTTGATTGGTGATGGTTGGTTAAAGCAAATAAGCCAAAATAATCACTACCCTATCGGATAATTAAAACATTTGGTTTCTGGTTGCTTTAAAGTAACAAAACAAAAACTTTTAGAGGGTGACTTTACTGCGCATTTGGTGGATAGTTTTTAGATAAACTCAATTAATAAAAGTAGGTGGATTTTGTTTTCTTCGATGCACATTTGGTGTTTGTTTCCTACAGCACATGATTAAAAGGCGAGTGACTCTTCGTTTTTATTTTTAATGGTTGCAACAACAATTAAAGGTATTTAATATTAAAATATTAAAGTCTCATTATATTTAAATTATGTTAGAAGTTGTTCATTTTTAATCATGTCACAGGTAGTACAAAATTATTTATATGATAGAGGATAGACATTTTATACTTTAAAAGAGGTGTGTTATGTTATTTATTTAAAATTATTGTCCTCTCTTTATTTTTTATTTCTTCTTTTCAAATATTTTTCTCTCAATGTTATTCTTTTTTTTTTCTCTCTTTAAACACAAATGATTCAATTGATGGATTTATCTACTGCATCGTATATACCGTGAGTGATTATTGGTTTCTAAAATTTAATCACCATCCAAGCTGAACATGTTATGCCTCATACATATACTAATTTTTTTTTTTGAAAAATTCTACTATATATATATTTCTTCTTCTGTGACTATTCTCTCAATATGTCATTTTTTTTTCTCTTTCAATGTTAAAGATTCCATTGTCTCATTTATTTACTGCCAAACAGATACCATGCAGGTGATTTTTAAATTATCTAACCTTTTATTTGCTTGTCAAACTATAGTTTTCTAAATGTTTATGATTTTGATTCATATTGAAAAGACAAAGGGTTGTTGTATAACTCTTTATGGTTGTTTGGAAGGTTTTAATGGTTAATTTGAAAAGGAAAAAGGGGAACTTAATAGGTGGGCATTTGACTTCTGTTAGTACACTACATACCCTCCCAGTAATATTGTCCTTTTAGATTTGGCTCCCAAGCGACAATCATTTAAGAAAATAAATAAATAATTTATTTATTGACAGGTTGAACTTCTTAAATTTTCATTTAATGCTAAATATTATAAATTTTCAAGAATGACACAGAGTAAGCTATTCTTGGTGAATATTAGATCATTTAACATGATGTTTTCATTCACCTCTATGGGGGTGAGATAGATGGATCGTTAAATAATGGATCAAGTCCTTTAATTTTTGTCATGAGTGGTGAGAATTACCATAGAATTGGTAGTTTGGTTCCTAATCCAGGAGAGCAACCCAAATTTTTTCAATTGTACATATATGACACGAAAAATGAAGTTGCTAATAGGATTTCTATTGTTAGGTAATTATTGATACATTTAGATATACTATTTTTTTTTTTTCTGAAATTTCCATACTCAATTCATGTGTTGAGTCCTTATCTTAAATGGTTTTTTATTGTATTATATTGTAGGATGGATAAAAATTCTAATCCATTACATACAGAAATAGTGTCTGACATTAAAGAAATGCTTGACTCTCATAATCCTTATGTTCAAACATATAGGATGGTTCAAGATCGTCTAAAGAAAAGTAATGCACACAGCCTGAAATTCAGAATAATAGGGAAAAGGGGAAAATATGGTAGGAGGTATAATCTTCCAACTGTGTTTGAGGTTGCAGCTTTAGTTGTGGGTGATTTTGATGCAGGTAATGATGAGAGCGACATCATTTTAGAGACTCAACAAGGATACCTGCAACCAATTTCTGTAGTGAGTTTTGCTTATTTACTACTGCACTATCCACTTTTGTTCCCACATGAAGAGGATGGATACAGCGATGACATTCTATTAAATGAATCCTTTATCATTGTCATTTTATTTGTATATTTAGATATTTTTTTTCATGTTACATTAAGTTCAATTAATTTTCACAATTTTATATATTAATTATTAAAATAAAATTTATTGACTATAATAATTTATTTTCCGTGCAACGCACGGGCACAAATCTAGTAAATTAAAATACGATTTCATTGGAAAACCAATCAAGAAAACAATACTAAATCAAGCAATAATTAGATTTAATTTGGATTAAAATTAAAGTTTCCATCCAACCATATTCCTCCATCTTTACATACATATAAAGATTATCGAGAAAATATGACGTTATTCTCCGTTATTCCTCCATATTCCTCCATCTTTACATACATATAAAGATTGTATTAAATATGGTTGGATGGAAACACCCAAGTCAATTAGAGAAATATGTTTTTCTTTGAAAGGAAAGAACATAAAAGGACAAAAAAAAAAGCTTAATTAAACTAATCGATCAATAAGACTCCTAATTAGATAGGCCTCATTTAAAATTGAACTACCTAAACAAGAAACCGAAAATTTATCAAAAAACCAAAAATAGATGAAAAATTGTAAACTAGTAGTTTGATATTA